AAAAAAAAAAAAAAAAGAAGCATCTAAACCAACATAACTGGCGACCGTCCTTCCGCTTCGTTTTGCAGACAGATACAAACAGACACGCACACACTCAAAGCAAACAGACAAACAAAAAAAAACGGCATTACCACCAATAAGACCGTTGAAAAATAGTAATACAAAAAAAAATTGATCTGCTTTTCTTTCTCGTTCACTTTAATTTCGTTTATGCGTTTTATTTTCCCGGTACATGTAAATGTGTGCGTGTATGCATGTGTGTGTCTTTGCTTACTAACCCCAGTTCTTTCTCTTCTCGGTGCCGATGCACACTTTCTTTTCTTCTCCCGTCTCAGGCTGCATTTGCTTCTTCCCTTCAGCTGTAAGATGTCTCAAACCTTGCCTATTTCCGCGCTTCGCAAATAGTCATACTCCATGCGAAGATGGCGGCGTCTCTATGATGTGCAACGCGTACAGAGCACCGATTTCGGTTTTGGTTTCTTCTCCTCTTCGTCTGGCTCGGTTTGTTCTCAATGACAGCTGAAACGGCGCAGGGGGTAGGGGGTGGCGACAGGGTCGCAGAAAACAAACAAAAAGATTTAATGGTCAACATATGTGAGGAGGCAGAAGGAGAACAAAAAAGCGACAAGCAACAAACAAAAGGTGAATTGGATATTGATTATCATTCTAAACTTGTTCTCTTCATTTGCTTTGCATTCATTCATTCACTCAATCACACGTTCCAGTTCATGGCGCCCCCTGCCTTGTATGGAGCCTTCCATGAATAGGGTGCTGCAATAGCCAGACCCCGACCGAGGCCCCTGCTACGCGCTAAGGTGTGCGAATTCGTACGCGGAATAACAATTTACACTCGCTATTTTTTTTTTCTTCATTTCACTTGTCCAGTTTCAAAGGTATATAAGTTTTCGCTTTTTTCTGTTTCTTTTTCCGGGGTTTATTTTTTTTTCATTCTCGTTGCATCACTGTCCCAGGAACATCTTTCCTGACTGCTGGAGCCGCAGCAGTATCTCCATCTGCCGGGAGCGGCGGTGCACAATCTCGTCGGAGCAGTACTCGTACGTCCAGTGACGAACCTCCGCGTTCCACAGCATCATAGACGACAGCGTAGCCAGTACTTGGTGGTACGGGTCGGGGGAGAGCGTGAAGAGCGCATTGGCACCAAGGTACTCCTTCTCCACGGCCAAGAGGATGCGCTTCCACTTATTGAGGTTGGCCTTGCGATTCGGATCCCTGTGGTACGCGAGAGAGAGCAGCTGCTTCAGCATCAGTCGGTGTTCCTCTCGCGAAACACACGCCCTGCGTGTCTCCTCCAGAATGATATTGTTCAGCTTTGTTTGGCGCCACGCTGCGATACTCTGGCGACCACGCTCCATGTCCGGTCTGCTCATGTCAACCCGGCGCATGTCGCTGTCGGCCTCTGCGCCTCGCCACGAGGCTGAACTCGAGAGAGAGTCGGTGCTGCTTGAATCACCACACACGGCGGTGTTGGAAAACATATCGCGCTGTGTCGTGCCGCAGCCCAAGAAAAAGGGGGAGGGGATGAGAAATGGCGCCTTATGCGTCACCACCACTTCGGTAATTGGGGAAGGAAAAAGATGGGTAAATGAGGCAAGAGAAAGTGATGACAGAGCCAATGGGCACTCCACACAATCCAAGTCACGCATGCACAAAAGAAGTGATATATATATATATATATATATGTAGCTATGCATATATGAGGAGAAACAGGTACACAAACAGAGGAGTGGCAAGGTAGCATACCTTGCGTTGCAATCAGGCGCACAAACCGATTTCTTTCCCTTTTCACTACACCCATCTTTGTTTTTTTGTTTCCTTCTTCTGATCCTTCGTCTTGCTCCCCTCTCCCCATATGTTCCTTTCCCCCATTTCATTTCTTCCTTGCTTGTTGTTTCACTCCGGGGTGGTGCCTCAAAGCGTATCCGCCAAATTCCCCCCTCGCAACACGTGCCACTTAGACTTGTGTGGCTTTTTTAACGCACATGCGTACCGCCTACTTGGTCAGCTTTGAACGGCGGATCAGGAGGTCAACCTGGTTTTGCTCTGCGCGGTACACAACGAGCGGGAACAGCGCAGGAATGATGCACAAAAACGCGTACGCCACAACCTCACGGAGGTAACGTTTGTGCAGACGGTCGTAGCGCTCGCGCGTTACAACTGAGACCACACCACGGAAGCTCTCATCGTCATAGCTTTCGCCGAGGAAGTAGGCGTCACCCTCACGGATGACATTGCTGTACGCCTTCTCAGTGGCTGGCTTCCCCTTCTCCAGGGCGTACGTTACCTCCGCGACAGTGGCTGCGTAGTTGCCAAGGTCCTTCGGCGTCACCGTGTACTTCAGCACCGCCGACTCGCCAAAGGAGAGCATGTCGACACGTTTTGTCCGCGTGGTGCCGTCGACCAGCACGTCGGTGATGGTGACGTCCGCAGCTGGGCTCTGGCCGTAGTTGTACACGGTCACAGTGAACTCCACGGTGTTGCCAACCACCACGTAGTCGTCCGAGACAGACTTGGACACGAACAGGAAAGGCAGCGTGTCGGACTGGGCTTGCAAACCCACCGCCATGGTGGCAAAGAGTGCAACGGCAACTAATAACCACCGCATCCTTTCGTATGAGGATCCACTTTTTTTGTGTTTTTTTTTTTTCGTTTTGGTTGGCGCTTTCTCAAGGCACTCCGATGCAAGGGACTAGACGAGCTGAACAGGCAGAGGGAAGAGATGGACAAGTGTCGCATGCGAGGCAAGAAAGCAACATGGCAAGCATTCCTCTACCATATGCAAGAGGAGGAGAACAACAACGACAAGATGCACATGTGATGTGATAAAAACTACGAAGGAAGTTGTCATTCCTTCTATCGCCCCTCCATTTTCTGTCTCGGTCTCTCTCTCTCTCTCCCCCCCTCACTCGGTGTGTGTGTGTGTATGACTGTCTGTCTGTCTGCCTACCCGACCATCTGCTCTGTTCACAGTTTGAGGCTCTCCAAGCTCTCAACAGTCACGCGGTGAAGCGGGATGCGGTGGTCGCCCAGGAGGGAGCACACCTTCTCCGTGCCGTGGATCTTCCCCATTTGCTCAAACACCTCACGCGCCGGCTGCGTGATCTGCCCAATGTCAACGAGGTGGTCCATTCCCCTGGCAACGAAGTCCCAATCGCCAATCTCCACTGCGTGGGCAAGTAGTGGCGCCACCACGTCCACGTCACCGAGAACACGCGCGCTCTCAAGGTGCTCTGAGAGATGCTGCAGACTACATCCCCCGCGGAGAATGTGGCGTAGCGCAATATCGAACGGCACCGAGTTCTTTGGGCACGCGGATATGAGCTGCAGCACCTTTTCCCAGTCGAGCTGCTCAATCAGCGGCCACAGTGTCATAACGTCACTGCGATTCACTCGAACATGGCGCAAGAGTTCCACAGCGACGTCCCACCGCTGCTGTGCCAAAGCCACGTGGACAAGGTTGCACCGCGTCACCGTTGCGAATGGGAAGCTGTCCACCAATTTTGCCTCCCAGTCAGGCCCAGCCGCTTTCAGCAGCACAGCACACGCCTCGGCCGTCGCGATCTGCTGGGTCACACTCGATAGACGGGCGCCCATCAGCGCAGCGCTAATTGTCTTGGAGTCCCCTTTGTTGAGGGCTTCCCAGAAGACGCTCCACTCCACCTCATCAGGTGCTTTTTTCTGCAAGATGGCGGAGAGGCGTATCTTCTCGTTGAAGCGGCTCTTAACGTCATCCACACGCACCCCTGCTGCGTGCATGACTGCCTTCAAGAGGTCGAAGGTGTCGACAGGGGGGGCGTGGTATGGATGACGCTGATACACCTGGAGTGCCCGCATCCAATCGCCTGTCTCAAGTGCGGTGTGAAACTGCTGCGGTAACGGCACCGCCTTCCAAACTTTATCTGCCGACGCCCTCCTATGCAGCAGAACAGACGAGGTCCGCATCATCCGACCCGAAAACTGCAGCAAAGGTAAAAAAAAAAAAAAANAAAAAAAAAAAAAAGACAGACATAAAGAAAGAGATTTGTGGAACAGCAACTGTCGAAGCCAAAAAAAAACCAAACGATGATCTGTGCCGTCGTAGTGTACAATTTGTGCTCAAGACAATCTCTTCAATTCAACCTGTAGCTCGTCAACAGCAGAGGCTGCCACGACAGAGGAATTCATACATGATAGGAGCACAGCCTTCACCAACTCCTGGAGAGGCACCAGTGTCAGTCAAGCAAACATCTTCTTGGCACAAAAACCGACGCTCTATTTGATTATGCCGAATTCTTTCTTTTCATTCAGGGTAAGAGCGTGCGCTGGTACAAATTCGCCTAACTGCGGTACGTACTCAGCGAGAAGCTGCGCGCGTGCACGACGAATGTACTCCTGCAGTTCTTCCTCCCGTTTCCTTTCGCGCTCCTCTATAAGTACAGCCTGTCGCTCCTCCTCACGCTTAAGCTCCCTGCGCGCTTCAAGTATCTTCTCCACCTCCACCGCGTGCTCCCGTTTGAGCTCCATTTGGCGTTGTCGTGTGAGCCGCTCCATTTTGGCTTTCTGCGCAAGCTCCTCCATCATCACCTGGCGCAGCTTCATCTCCTCTGCTCGCTCCTGCTCCTTTGCCTTCAGGCGATCCTGAATCAGTTTCCAGTTCTCCTGCTTCACCGACTCAGCAAACTTTGCCCGCGTCTCTTTCTCGTCCTTTATTGCCTTGCGCTCCTTCGCCACACGCTCCGCCTCGTAGTAGTCATTAAGCAAGCTCTCCAGCTCCTCCCGCTTAAACTGTTCCTCTGCGATTTTCTTACTCTGCTCTTCGAGGATGCGTGCCTTGATAGCCTCCTTCTCGCGCAGCAGCTTCGCGTCGGCTTCCTTCCGTCGGCTTTGCTCGGCGATGTAAGCATTGATTGCCGCAGTCTCCTCCAGATCGCGCTGCCGCTGCGCTTCCTTGATCACCGCTCGCTGTCGGTAGAATTCATCCTGCTCCTCCTGCAGCTGCCGCTGCTTCTCACGTCGCTCCAATGAGTCGAGGAAGTCTTTCTCCTGCACACGTGCAACCACTGCGTCAACAGCTATCCGCTCCTTCCGCCGCTCCTCCACCTCGCGTTCGGCGAGTGCCTTGCGTTCCTCAATGAGGCTCAGCTGTGCCGTCTGGTGTCGCTGGAAGGCCTCAATTTCTTGCTTGCGCCGTTCATCCTCCTTGGCCCTCGCCAACTTGTCTTGCTCATTCAGGTAGGCGATGTATTCTTTCTCCTCCTGTAGCTGCTTTCCCCGCAGGAGGCGTATCTCCTCCACCTGATCCGCCCGCCCTCGCTTCATGGAGGCGTGTTTCAGCTGCGCCTCCAAATGCCGAAGCTCAGGAAAGGTACGGACGAGCTGCAGCATTTTTTCATCCTTCAAATCAAGGCGCTGCTGCTCTGCCAACTCCTTTGCAAGTGCCTCGTCGCGCGCAGCAGCGTTTTGCTTCTTCTCACGGATGGCATGGAACTCCTCTTCCTCTCGCTGCAGAGCAAGCTCGGCCTGCACCGCCTTATAGCGGTTAACGCGGCGAAGCCGCTCAACACGCGTACTGTTCGCGTCCATCACGTTCGCCAACTACGACATGCCATCATGGTGAACAACAACAACAGAAGAAAGATGCAGCAAAAGGAGGTTTGACGCCTTCGGTTGGCGTTGACCCAAACAGTGGCACAACCAATAATACAAAAAAAAAAATAGCCAGGCAACATTGTGACAGTAGCAGGAAGGTGTATGCTTCTACAGAGACAAGATGCGACGAATATCGCGCACGCAGTTCTGCACGCCCGCGCTGTGTCCCTGCACCCGCACCGACACCGCATCGTCAGAGGTGGCGATGTAGGCCATAACTTTGTGGCGCTCCCGCAACTCCTGCAGGCCATCGCCGCGGGGGCCCGTCAGCAGCCGCAGCCGCCCTGGTGCCACCGGCACGCACACCTCGTCCATCGGCACCTCTACAAGTGGCGGGTGAGGCACGAAAGGAATGGCGGCGTGCTGCGCCGCGTCGCTAAGGGACTCACACGCCAGAGACTGCTGAACGGCCCACAGGGCCTCCTGCAGAATGCGCATTTCCACCCGTTGTTCGGCGAGAGCGGCCTTCACTAACACCGCATCCTCTTGGAGGTCAGGATCAAACTGATCGATGAGCCGCATCACCTGCATGTATTCCTCCTCTAGAGCTTGCTTCTCAGTGTTCACGTGCTCGACGCCAACGGCTGACTTTTCGCATGCAGACTTGTATAGGCCGTGTGCATTATCCAGTTGTGATTGAATAAATTTCTTCTGCTGGTTCAGAACTGTCATTTCCGCCTGGAGCTCCGAGAAGCGTTGCCGAATAGGCTCTACACTACTACAATGTGCTGCAGTTGACACAACGGATGCCTGTAGTGCAGCTTTGCGCGACGCTGCTTCGTGCCACTCCGCCTGTAAAGTGTGCAGTTTTTCTAACAGCTCTGCGTACTCGAGGCGCGCGTCTTGCGAAACGTTGGTACGATATGTAGAATTGGTTGGCATGATGTTTATCCAGCCCCCATTGGCAACCTTAAAATATCGGAGGAGGGGGAAACGTCACAAATGCAAAGGATTAATTGACCTGAAGCACACGCAACGCTTGCAAACGGAGAGTAAAGCAGACATGTATACACAAGGGCCAGACCCCCCATTCTGGGTATAACACCGCGGAGTAATGCAGCAGAGCTTACGGGGACAGTGCATGATGATACGCACGCCGCCCAAATGGCGGTGGTGGTCTGGGAAGCAGTCCCCAGGGGAACCCATAAGCGTAGTCACGCGGCAAGCCCAAGCGCCTGAGTAAGACCTCAAAAAATTGCTTGTGTAGTAAATAAGACAAGCACAAACAACAACTCGACGGTTAATTTCGAGTAGAGTTTATCCGTGATGACACAGCATGCTTTTAGTTGCTGCGTCGCTATGTACACATCCAGACCAACTACAAACGAGGACGAAAGTCGTTTGCTCCTTTTTTTTCCTTCTCCCGTCTCCACTACGAAGATCCTCGTTGGAATCACAACACCCAAAAGGACCAGCCCTCGCGGCGTATCGGTTTCCCGTGTCAATCATGTGCATGACCTTCACCAGTTGCGCTTCCTTGCTTCCAATAACGTATTGTACGGCCTTATCCCGCACACTGATCCTTGCCTGCTTTGCAATGCGCGCCACAGGCACACCACTCACCGAGACGATGAAAGCCCTCATCCAGTCCCTCAGCAAACGGTGACACTCGGGAAGGAGTTTCTGCAATAATCCGCGGAGGGCAATGCGTAGTGAGGTTCCAGCCCCAACGAACGAAAACAGTACAAAGTATACCATGAAGCAGATGCCGTTGGTTTTTTTTGTTCTGGATCACGCCCAATGCCGCCCACGAGACGTGCGCAGCCGCCAAAAAGACTCTCAGCAACACAACAAAAGGTCGTGCTATTCCACTGCGTGGCAGTTTGCCACAACTGTATTTCAATAAGGCCGCTTAGATACGGGAGAATCATGACCCTCGTGAAAAGCAAGCATATACACACCTCCAAGGATTGACATGCCGCCCACAACGAGTCGGAGCGAACAGGTTATCAAACAGAAACCGGTAACAATAAAATAATTGCTCCCACGTCAGAGATTGACATGCAGGAGAAGTTCCGGCATGGTGTGGTCCAATGCCAGTCATCAGTGAAGGCCGACGGGGCCAACGCACGCAGTTAGGACGGCATCCTAGGGGGCTAAATCTGTATCAATTGCCACAAAAAATCCTCGGCCACTTCGTCACCGCAGTTTGCATCAGCTTTTTAACGGGGGAAAAAAAAATCCTCGCTAGCACAGCATATGAGGGGCTCTTGCTACCGCCACAACCATCTCTACACGTTGCGCAACGTTTTGGGAAACACTTCGGAATTCTATTCCTCAATGTAACTTAAACCACTTTCAAATGTAACCACCCACAGCAACGCAACTATGCAGACAAATATATATATATATATATATGGTTTCACCCCCATCACTGCATGGTTTGGCGGTGGAATACGGCAGATTTCGGTTGGCAGTCAATACCTTGCTGTGTTCCCCGATCATATACTCAAAGGCATATAAGAGAAGCACAGAAAGACCCATGACATGAAACAGAAAGAGCACCGTCGGTGCACTGAAAGATTCGTTGACGCCCAGTATACTCATCATAGGGAAAGGGCACTAAATGCCATCATCTATCTATTTTAATGGAAAGACATCCCATTGCGCACCAGGATAGTTTCCTGTAGAGACAGTACTTGCTACGGTTCTGGCGGTATAGCTTAGCGTTGAAAGAATGACGGCAGAAAGCACCCGGTTCTTGTCGTCTGCGCTTAGCAAGACATCGTACACACTTCCAATCATATGAAAGGCACTGAATATCTCAGTTTGAACTCAGCATGAAATGTAGAGGACCACGCAAGCAATTACTGAAGACAATAGCGCACCTTGCTTACCTGAGGTGGCCATCGTGACACTTGCGTAGAGGAACGAAATGGCGTTTTTATTCCGTGCAACAGCAGTTCCAATGCTTCCTGGAGTGCACGCAAAATTTACAGAGCATCCCCGGTGACACTGTCATTCATTCCTTTTGCCTGCGCCTTCCTGTGAGTATACAGAGCAACTGCTGCGAAGGAACACGTCAAACATCTCACACGGGACCGCGGGTATTCGCTAGAGTTTAAAGACGACAGAACAGGGTACTAGCTCCCATGCGTGTTTCAATATTGCCCCTGCAGGGACTGTATCTCTGTACGGCCGTTGGCGGGTATCGAAGCCCAGCGCACCAGGAATTGTCCCACTCCTTGATGTGGAGTGGCGCCCTGAAGGCACCCTCTGGCATCCCTCTCAACGCTGCAGCACAATTATCTCCATCTCCATCGAAATAAAAAGGAAATATGGAAGAAAGTGCATATTTAATTCAATCAGATGTAGTTTGGAAGCTGAACAACCACAACAATGACAATGCACTTTCATCTACATTGTGTTCACAGTGGTCGTTAGGCATGCAATAATCAAGACCGAGGCCATTTTCCCTCCTGCAATGAACTGTTATGATTGTTCCACCGATTTCCCTCGAATATTTCTTTGTCTGAAGGCGGGGGTGGAACGTCTGTGCGCTCAAAGGCATCATCAAATGCATCTAGAGGTATGGGCAATGGTTTGCGACCCATAGCAACAGCTTCAGCATACTCAGCTCCCACCCTACGGCCATACTCCGTAACAGAGGGGCTGTTATGGTGATACAAGACAACTAGCGGAAGCCCTCTGGATGCACAGTAATGACAGTGAAGAGCAGCAATAGCAGAATCTGCATCATCAACGGAATTGTATGTCACTTCAGCATACTGAGCCGCACCCTCATGAAGCATGTTCACGCGTTTGACCTGACCGTACGCTGAGAAAAGACGCTCCACGTATTGGGCATTCGCGACGGTGGGGAGGTTGCCCACAAACAGCATCGCTGGAGATGACATCGACTTCCTATCGTTGCTTCAACACCACCCTTTTTTTT